CAACAATCAGAGATGTTATAGGATTTTGTTCTAAAGCTTCACTTTGTTGAATTATTGCAAAATTAATATTTTCAATTGTCTATTTTAAAAATATAGTGAATTTATGGTTTAAGAATATGAAATATGTTCACCACTGTGACAATGATGTTCACTTCTTGGATTGGTAGATACTTCCTGTCAACTTGGAACTCACCAAATAGGTACAATCGCCTATTCGAATAGGTACTTGAGGTAAATGTGACTGAATGTGAAAGTATGTACTCTGCGCATATATAGGAATTATCAACAAGGGAGGGGGTCAAGTGTAGTCATTCGAAGTTAAAAGTGTTGAGGCGAGAAGACCACAACATACGAGGCCAGATAACACAATTCAAGGTCAAACACATCTGAAAGTTACTTAGTCATAGTCATGTGACGTGTTTCAAGGGAATGTGGTGGGAGCAGGACTTCGGATCAATATAAATTAACAACTCCTCAAGTTACGAAGATGTAAATTCATACCGATTATAACAGGTTTTGTTTTCAAAAAAACTTGTCATAATTAACAAAAAATCACAGGTAGATTGAATTTTCTTTTTGGTGGAAATTTCCGAATTCTCCTTATGATATCAATTTGGTGTGTGGGAAACTTTTTTCCTCAGAATAATTTCACAGAGGTTTCAATTGAACCTATCACACACATAAGTGTTTACAGTAAACGAATTATATTGTTGATATATTTATTCAAATTGATGAAATATAGAATCATTAAGAAATGTAAATACACACTTACAAACAAATATTATTACACAACACAAACATAAGTAGTCATTTTTATTGAATGATATTCTAATTTTGACAGATGATTAATGATATTTTGTATCCAATATTATTAGTCTAGTTTGGAGCACAACCAGAGTTTCATAAATGAAAAATTATTCGTTATTTTGAGTTTTTTTAGTTTACGAACGTTTGAAATTCTGACAGAGATTCCTCAGTCCGATGCGGACCACCCTTTTGCTCTACGTTTCCGCTAATATAAAAAAGAAAACATTGTCAACTTAAAAAAAACCCTGAGACGATTAACTACTAAAAAACTGAGATAAAAAGGTCTGAACCATTTTTGTGGGGTGCTACAATCTGTACCTATAATCTATTAGAAACACTATATGTATGTGAACAAATATGAATGGGATATGCGTATTGATTCACTGATTCCATTTGTCGTCTCAACGAAGTATTTCTTTCGGAAGTCCTCGGTTCCGATTCCTATGATTGTTTTAATGATAATAATATTGATAATAGCAATATTTTATTTGCATTATACTTGCCATATAACAAAAATGCAGAGAAAAATCAAACGTAATGAATACACCTATCAACGCAAAGTTCACATGTTCAATGAACAAGTTTTTGCTCACTTAACCATGATGTCTCCTATAAAACAATAAATTACCTACAATTAGTTGAGATTTCCTAACTTAGTTTGTACTAGCTGTCGCTCGCGGCTTCGCCCGCGTAGAATTTGGTCATATTAAGTTTCGTGAAAGACCATTTTAATCAAATAGTCACAATACATTTATTTTAACCGAAAACTTCAGGTTTCCAACTTCAAAACTGACGAAATCCAATACAATCTCTGAACCCCTATTTTCCCCCTTGGGGGTGGAAATTCCTGGGTCCCTTTCTTGATGTTTTCGTTTATACAGATGAGTGGAAAAGTAGAGATTCAAATAACAGAGTGATTATTGAAAATACTTCTGAATACTACTCTCTACTGAATACTACTGTCCAATCTCCATTAGTCTTTTTCAACTAAAATTACTTTTTTAATCCTTTTCTGTCAGTTTTCTTCGTAAATATTAGATACTTCTTCTATAATTAGCGCTATCACCTTCTTATCAAATTTTGGGAAAATTATTTTCACGCCTGATGCTTTGTTTCAATTTCCCCAAATGAACTCGATGGGATTAAAAACACAAAAATAGCGGGGAAGTCTCAGAATGATGTGTCCAAACTTTTCAACAATTCTCTCGTGGGCATACAATTTTTCAGTTTTTGTCTGTAAAACTTCAAGTAGTTGCGTTTTTGTATAGTTATCTTCAAAATACAAATTGTTATCCATTAAAAAACTTTGTATGTAATCTTTCCTCGAATTTTTATTCGGTACTTTGAATGAGCTGTCGCGAATGATAGGAAGCGTTGTCAAGAACTATTACACTATTCGCATCCAAATTTGGAATTAATGTGTTTCCAAACCACTCCTCAAAAATTTAGCTTCCATGTTCTTATGATAGTTAACATTACAGTTCTCAAGTTTTTTTCCACATAATTTAAAAGAATTTGGAACCCATCCTTTACTTCCTCCGCAATGCACAATGAATAATCGCGATTCTTTGCAGGCATATTAGGCGTTCACATTCTCGAACCGTCAGTCCACTCTTTCGTAACTGTGTCGTGAAGGTCATACCAAGTTTCGTCCAAATAGAAAATTTGCCGTTGTTCTTGTCTATATTTAGTTAATTGTTCTAAGTATTTGTTACGCAATTCCACTATTCTTCTGGTTTCCGCAACTGCTTGAATTTAAATATAAATCCTAGTTTCACAGCAGTTCACGTTATCGCCGGAAGTATTCAATTTCTTCCTTATGATTTCAGTTTTAGGAATCTCATTGCTTTTGTAACAGTGGTATATTGTTTTTTCAATGATTTTATTAGATGGACTTCTAAAGGTTCTGGTATCACATCGCGTATAACATGTTACGGTGACGAATAGAAATCGGGAATGCGTGGATGGTTATCGCCGTCGTGTTCAGTTCAGGAACTGATCGCGATTTGAGTGTTGAAATTCGATACTGATGCAGTTATAAAGGTAGTGTAGGAGTTTTGAACCGATCAATTGTATATACAGGGTGTTTCAGAATTCGACGGACAAACTTATACCACGTCATTCCTCTTGCAAAATGATGAAAAATGAGGTAGGACATGTGTGTCCAGAAATGAGCCCTTTCAGAAATACAGGGCGTTGAAGTTGCAAAATAAAAAGACCCTTTTCGTCGTAGCTCCCGGACTAAAAGGAATAAATTAATGAAACTCAGCAAATCGATTACGAGCTAGAATGTGCTTCCTNTCAATGGATAACAATTTGTATTTTGAAGATAACTATAATCAGAAATGATTATTGAATATCCAAATCAGTTAGCTCCCTAACTATATTATTGAGGGGGATGTGTGAAAGGTAGGTTGCACTATATCGATCACTTGAATTATACAATATTGAATAGCATCAGCAACAAAACTGAAAAAATTAGAATGAAATACATTGGTTATCCTATTAAATCCTATTGATACTAATATTATAAAGGAGTGAAGCTTGTGAAGATGGATGAATGTAATGTAAGTATTTATGTTTTTTCACTTTTTAACGCCTAAACAGCTCAACAGATTCAAATGTCAGTTGGTATATAGACAGATCATGACCTGGAATAACACGGTAACGCGGATAAAACAGCGGCGAACAGCTAGTATATTGTATAAGTGGGTGCCTATTGATTGACTGACACTGCACAGCTGAAGCTATTGAACCTAGAATCTTGAAACATGCAGGTAGGCTCTTTGTATAGCGTAAATGAGCATTAATATATGGAATCAGGGATTTCCACCCACAAGGGAAAAAATAAGAGTTCGAAGATTGTATAGAATTTCGTCAGTTTTGACGTTGAAAACATAAAGTTTTGAGTTTGATGAAAAATATTTTAACTATTTGTTTAAAATGGCCTGTCGCGAAATTAAATGTGACGAACCAAATTCTACGCGGGCGAAGCCGCGGGCAACAGCTAGTAATTTATATTTTTACTTTAAAAATACAGTGACTAAAAAATATGTCAACTGCACTAAGTAATGAATAGCTTCGAGAATCGATGTTACCTTTAAAGAAATTTTGCAAAACTAACACAACCGTCAACAATGTCTGTCCTCACGCATCTGTCCCCCGCCTTTTTACAGTAGACGCGACGTGTAATGGCTTACTGCGTCAAGTTATTCTTATTATGAAAACTTTTAAACGATTCGTCCAAATTACTTAGTGCAAAAGACAACGTTTATGTTTATTGAATACTAAAAACCACAATTATATAAATTAAATTTTTATAAGAAATTGACAGATATTCTGAATTGTGTTTTATAAAAAAGTATCCAATTTAATTGTATTTATGGGTCAGTATTTTGCATATAGTGGCTACCAAACATACGTCCCTTTAACATATACTTGTGTACCTAAATATTCATAAATTTTATTTGTACATGAACATTCACCACAATACCATAACTACCTACATGTATGTATGAAAACACTATAAACAATTTTTCCTGCTGTGAAAGTTTCTGATTTTGGACAAAATTGATATTTCATAACTATATGTTTTCAAAAGTTTTCAATGAGTGTTTATTTCGGAAGATTACTTGTTTTTAGTTTTCATCGACTCAACCATGTGATGAAATTCAAGATAAAATGAGATAATGCATTTTCCCATTACTTATTTCTTTGAACCGCCCCTGCGTTTTATTAAACCAAGTTAAAAATTATTTATTTTGAACAGTTGTGTCTGTGTACAGTTGAATACTTGAATATGAAATTATTTTTGACATTACTAAAACTACATTAACAAACAGATAGGTATTAATACCTACTTACATTGAACAATTAAAAATAGAAATGCATATAATAGGTATTGCACAAAATTAAACAAAGCAGTCATTTGTCATGATACAACAATAAATAGCTATCACAAAATGTTCACTGAATCTTCGAAATTCAGCATTCATAGTTTTCTAAAAACTGTTCTGCAATGGGCCAATTCAATTATAAAAGAAGTTTTCTTCAACTTCCATGCGGTTCGGCAATGTGACAAGTCAGAACGAATAGATCTATCTATTCGAGACATACGTCGAACGATTATGCAGGTAGTGAAAACAGAGACCCGACATTTTGATTGTGTCGTCACTTGATGCAAAGCTGTTATTCGTTCTTAGTTGCGCTTTAGATAGCGCATTGTGTGGATGTGGAGTGTGGTTTTGTGTAGTGATTTTGTTCGATATTTACGTAGTTTTAGTGAAAAACACGCGAAAAATGTCGGGTAACTCATCACAAGGTAAAAGACAACCGCCGAGGCAACTGGTAAGTGGATTTTGAAGCAAATTTAGCTCGAATAAGACGCCATAGTGAAGATAACATGTATCACGTAAATCCAACCAGTAAACGATTCATTTTACTTGGTCGCCATACCTTATAGACTGCCTTTTATCTTTAGAAAAGCCTACTGGGCTGGTCCCAGCACTTGTTCGGGCTTGAAAATATTGCTGGATCGTTTTCTTCAATGAAATTTTTTCACTGCTTTCGCTATTATTAGATCAGTTCATTTCAGTTCCGTTGTCATGTCATCTCACAGGGTGATGTGTTTTACTGCACCCAGTCGAAGTCACACGAAAAAAAAATCGTTTCGCCTACTACTTATTCGCCAAATGAACGAGTCGTGTTCATGTAGGTATTCACACATTTGTCCAACAAATTATATAAAATGGCTCCCCACTTTTGGTTTGATCTAACCTGGTAGGTATAAAAGAATTATGAATGCTATCACTTTCCTACACTACAGTAACAGCCACTATCATGTGTTTGTTCATGTTGTCTTTACATATATATATCAGTCTTGTGATATTGTCCCTAGCAGCTCTGAAAAACGTGGTCCCCCTTGTAATGTTCAAATAGGTAGTGAAATTATTTATGTAGGTAGGTACTTGTTTTGTTAATAAGGTGATTTAAGACAGGTAATTATTCAGGTAGAATCCAACAATTTACACCTTTCAAATGAGGATTGTAGATTTCAATTTAGAGGGGAAAATGTTTAAAGTTCTCCAACATCAAAACTCTTTGAAAAATTTGACATTTTTTTGAAAACTTCATGAATATGTACTTAGCTGCTTTGTTTTGAGAAAAGAAAACATTGTAATTATTTTATGGAGATAATCAGATATACATGAATTGTATTTATAATTTCACCTTTCACGAGCAAATTAGTTTCTTTAAACATTATGGAGTGTCCAAATTTAAGTTTTATTTTTACCATTTTATTATCAGTATTTTTTCATATGAAACTTCCTTTTACATTTCCATATTCAACAGAAACATGGTTGACATTTGAAATTGAAACAAAAATCAAAATACATAAAGCATTGATATAAAAGAAAACTTTCAAATCTTTTTTGTTATCTTCATAAATATTTTATAATGATATTTATGTATTATGTACAAATTTTAGTACCAGATGTTCAATCGACTTTTCCCTTGTCATTTACAGAATTTGACTCAAATATTTAACCCCATTTTGTGAAAAAAAATTGTAATTTTTTTTGTACAAGCAATACTTGAATAAAAAACTTGAACTTGAAATATTTAACATTATTTATAATATTTCTACTATGGCCTAAATGTAAAGTTGGTTTGGGTAATTCTAGTGATTCAGTAAACTAAGTAAGTGTGCCGAACAACCATACATAATTAAAAGATACTTCTCACCATGATGGATCTGTCACTTCACTGGTGACTTTACTGTCATTAAAATTTTCGCATTGAATAATATAGCAAGTTAATCAGTAGTATCGGGATGGTCATAAATTTTTATTTATGTTTCCTGATAAAGCATTGTTTCCATTTTCTCATGACAAGTGAGTCTAATAAAATAAACCCAAGGGGTCCATATCAATTTGATTTAAGACCTTATAGGTATTCATTTGTAACAGTATCTACTACACGCTCTCCATCCAGTTTGACTACTGTTTCATTCATTTAAAATATTTTCATTTTTTGCCATCACTTTACATTGGTTTAAAATGTGTACCAGACTATGAAGATATTGGCGATCTTTCAATTTTTTAGCGATTTGAGGAAAAATATTCAGAAATAATAAAAGGTCCTGAAAATTCCTCATATAATATTCTATGAGGTATAATTATTTATTTGTTAGTTTCTGACAAAAGTTATATTCTGAAATTGCTCAGATAATGATAATATCCTTTATTCACCATAAAAATACAATAGTATTATATGGTTTTACCATATACCATAAGAATACCATAAAAACACTAAAAAAATAAACAAATGAATGATTAATGATTAAACTTCCAGTTTTTTTCGAATAAAATCTACATGTCATAAATATAATTGTATATAAATGAAAAAAGTTTCTTTTCTTAGAAAATGTGTTACTCGAAAAAAGTTGTTTTGTCCATCTTTTTAAAATAATCAAGATTCCACATCAAAACTTCTGTTCTGAAATTCTATATCGTTTGCTCAATGTTTTATTTTATTAAATCGAACTAGGAATGTAATATATCACCCTGACAGATTTAAAATTGATTTTTCTTTCAAATTTTTGAGTTTTTATCACGATATTTTTACTCCTTCAGAAATGCCAGAAATTAAATACGTATATAGGTGAGACAGCTGAATACAGTTTGTTTTTTACTATACCTTAAGAATTTTTTAGCGTTTTCCTTCTGTTTTCACCCCCTCAAGTTGTCATAAAAACTCTAACTTGGACGCAATGCCCTTCTATTGAATCGACCACCACAAATAATAATTTTTTGTAAAATTATTGTAGAGTAGTGTTGGTAAATATTATAAGGATCCCAAAAAAATATTCAGTGTCATCACAATTGGGTCCCAGAACATCTTGATAATATAGAATGAATGTCTATGAAATTATTCACATTCACAAAGTACACCGAGAGAAAAATATTTAATTATAATTTTTTTCTACATCACTTTTGTACATTTACCATCTTTCAACCTTCGCCTGACAGCACATCCATTTAACTAGGTTTTGAAGTAGTGCCAACTCCATCTCGTGAACAAATTCCCAAACAACGAGAATCATCTTCAAGAAACTTGCACCAATTATCTCAACAATTCCTGTCGGATGTAATACCATATCATCATCATCAGTATATGGTTATACAAGTCCCAATTAGAGCTACCTAAAAAAATAGGGGCCAATATTTTTTGAGTCTAGAACTTCAACCTATACATAGAGTCAACATATCGGAAGAACAAGCAATAACGAAAAATTTGTCGCCCATCGTTCCTTAAACTTATATTCGCTCTTGCAATAGTGTTTTATGTCAATTTTTCATCATTTTTGGAGTTATAACTATGCAAGCCCCCCTTATGGTTTTTTACAATTTGTCAATATTGCCAAAATTGAGCAGAATACCGTGTCTTTAATGAAGCCTCATAATGAAAAGTCCAGAAGGGTTAGGTCAGGTGAATGTGGTGGCCCTTTAATAGGAACATTGTTTCCTATCCAATGTCTTGGCATAGTCGAAATGAAAAAATCTCTGCAAATACTTCTGCGATGTAGCTGAGCTCCATAATGTTGGAAATACTGATATTTTCTCAGAATATTCAAAGGGAAATCTTTTCACAACTCAACTAGGTCTCCGACAAGAATTCCCCATCAAAGATGTCTCTACAAGTAGGGACCTATAATCTTATAATCTTGGTGTCTAGCACACCAAGCCAAAAATCATCTCCAAATCTATCTTGGAAATTTGTAGTTCTAGGCAGGAAGGATTATTTTTTTTGTCGCCAGCGATAATGAATGGTTTTGTTAAACCATCCATTATTTGTGAAGATACTCTCATCACACCATACAACTTTATTACAGATTTCATTGTCGTGATGTTCTTTGATTAGCCACCTATAAAATATTTTTCTCCTATGATTGTCCATTAAACACGAATGGTGTTTTTTGCTGACTTTGTGAGGTTTAAATTTATTTTTTTTCAAAATGTTTTCGAACTGACGTATTCAGTATAGCACTATGATGTGCAATATCTCTTAATGATACATTTTTGTTCTTAATTTTCCGATATTCCACAAATTCTGAATCGAATAAATATCACTTTATTATTACTGAGAATGGGTTCTGAATTCACCCAAAAAGATGGCTGACGTCTCTCAGGGTACAATTACCCAAGCTGTGAAGTTATCCACATCCACAAAGTACACTGAGAAAAAAATATAGATTTATCATTTTTTCATTCACCGACTCTGCACACGAACCATGTTTCAATATGATACGCGTATTGATTGATTTAGTGAAAGAAAAAAAGAACCGTCCTAGTGTATTAAACTGTCTGAAGGCGTAAAAATAGGGTGGAAATATTAAAAAAAAATCGTATCACAATCGTACTTTGTACACCTACTAAATTGAGATATGTTATTCCTGAAGGTCTATTCGACAGGAAAAACGTCACATTATAGTTTTCCAGGCCGTCTGAGGGGGTGGAAATTAAAAAAAACATCTTTGAAAATTGAATTTGAACACCTGCAGGATTGAGATACTCCTGATGATCGATTTAACAAAATAAAACACCGTGTCAGAGTTTTTCAGTTTTGAGAAGTTGGAAATGGAGTGGAAACGAAGTGACTGGAAACTTTTATACCATATTAGTTGTTTAATGTAATGAATTGAAAAATGTTAGTGTAATTAATGTATGTAGGACTAGATGCTTCGGAAACAGTCTGATAACGCTGCAAAGTCAGTATCTTTCAGATGCTCTATATGAATACACATCTGATTGAACTGTAGTAATAAATAGCCTCAAAGAAACCTATCAGCCTCTTGATTTTCATAACACATAAAACCAAAGCAAAGGAGAACATTAGAGTTAGTAAAAGCATGTTTTTGAAAATATTTTACAGTATTTAATGATTATAACAATTTTGTTTCGAAAAGATCGATTCTGTGAAATATATTTCCATATAATTTTCGATACTGAACATAATCCGTCAAAATATATGATTTCTTCAAGTTTCTACCCCATTTTCACCCTCTCAGACACCCTGGAAAATTATTACGTGGAGTTTTTCTCGTCAAATCGGCTGTCAGGAATAACATATTTCAATCTCAATTTTTGAAAATATGATTTCTTCAAGTTTCCATCCCATTTTCACCCCTTCACAACCTGTCGAATAAATCATCAGGAATACCATATCTTAATTTTGTAGGGGTAGAAAGTCGATTTTTGAATACATGATTTTTTCAAGTTTTCACCTTATTTTCACCCTCTCAGACGGCCTGGAAAACTATAACGTGAAGGTTTTCTCGTCAAATC